GAATGGCAGGGGAGGCAGGGCAGCAGCTGAGATCACACCTCCAACCACACACAGCAAACTGGATGTGGGAGAGACTATACACTAAAACTCTGCTCCCTGTGACATGCCACACCGCCTAGAGGTGCTATAATCTCCCAAACAGCACTGCCCACAGGGAACCAAGTGTTTGTATATATGAGCCTAAGGGGGACATTTCTCATTCAAACCACAGCTCATACTAGTCATACTAGAAATAACATGTAGTACCAACACACTAGTAACATTTAGTAAAAGTATGCTATCTTCATCAATGTGGAAGCCCCATCGAGTTCAGTTTTGGATACATTACAGGCTTTTGTTTTATCTGGAAAACTGGCAAAATCCTTCAGAATCATAAGTGCCCAGCTCTCTTACTTGTTGAGAATAAGCAAGCCTGAGGGGCACTGAGGAACAGCAATATGATCGGTATCAATCACACTAAACCACAACTTCCTAAGTTTCATCAGCCAACCACTGCCCTCATTTGCACGTTAAGAACACAGCTCTGGTATAAAAACCAGCTGCAGTCCACCATCTCCCTGTAGGTGGTCCTGTTACCGCCCTGCCCACTGTTCCTCTGCAGTGTATTCAAGAAACTTGTCTTCTCCTACTCTGATCTGGCTTGGGTGAATTCTTTCACAGCCTACAACTCTGACCTCCCACAGTATTTTGGAACATGAAAAGAGTTTCTAAAAGCCATACTGGGACGTTATTAGCCTGAGGCTATATAACATGCTAATAACAAAGCCAGGATTACTTTGAAATCTGTATTCTTCATTCACATTCTCCATTCATCACACCACAGCAGCTGTTATGCCCAATAACCTGCACAAACTACAACGGTGATGAGTGAGATGAGTGAGATCACAGAGGCCTTTGGGATCTAAACATCTTCTGTTTGGCTTCCTGATTCCCAAGTTCTCTATCAGTTTGAACATAGCTCTTCCATATATAGGCCTGATTTACGCAAACTTTTTTATGTAAGACACCAGGAGGAGAACCCAAGACAGGAGTCTATCCAAAGCAAAGAGTCAACTTAATTTCTCTCATATGAGGGTCAAATTTTATAGAGGCCAGGCCTCAAATGGCACCTGTATCTGCATGGCTCAGCTACTGCTAAGGAAATATTCTGCTAAACAGAGCTTTGATGTATAAGGCTTTTTTGTTTATTATTCTGGGGTTTCTCCAAAGCAAAAACTTTTCTAAATTAGAGTTTCTCTTGAGCTTACAAATAAAGTAAATGTGAGTTGTCAGTAAGACAAAAATGATCTAAAACTAGATTGCGGTGGATGGCCGCCCAACTATAAATTTATTACAAGAGCTTAAAATGGGTAAATTATGAACTATCCCTCAATAAAACTGCTAAAAATAGTCTAAAAATTAATCAGATAGCTAAGTGACTTTCTTTTTGTAAATATCTAGCATTAAAACTATATAGATACTCTTGACTTTACCCAGGCTCATTTAAGGCCAGGTTCTATCTACTTCAATCACACTTCATCTAAACTGTCAAGTTTTTTTCTGTAATTTTGGTAAGAATAATTTAAGAGACTAATATATAAACATATGTAAAGAACCAAATTTTAGATATTGACTAGTCTGGTTATATTCACAAATGATCTATAGTTCAATTGATCATAGAGTCCCAGTTCAAAACCTGTCATTAAATACATTTCGGTTCTGAGAGGTTTCACATCTCCAAGTCTCTTTTCCCACCTACATCATATAACTCTGTGGATTAGAGTTCAATAGCGTATCAGAAAAATAATAGTAGGTTGAGAGTCTGACTCAGTAGTATAGCTTAGTGGTAAAATGTTTGTCGAGCATTCATGAGGCAAAAAGAAAAGATGTGGTGACCGCTATTTAACACATACCCACTAGACTGTTTACAAAAATCATTACCCTCTCAAAAAGATATTATCAGCCTTTCCTGGTATTTTTTTCCAGATGAGGAGATGGAACATACAGAAAGTCTTTAGTTTGATCAAGGTCACAGAGTTCTTTAGTAGCAGATCCAGAATTCTAATCCAGAAGTGTCCTGCTTTAAAACTTTTACTCATTCTGTATTTCTTTATTAGACTTTGGACTTTGATTCCCTCAGATGTGGGCATGAATCTTGACCTTACCTTTACCACGTTAATCACTTTCTCTTATTAAACCAACTTTATCTATAAAAGGAGATAATTAGGAGTTAACTTTCTGGGTTATTACAAAGTTTAGAGCATACATCCTCTACAATTAGAAGTCATCTAATAAATAGTTCACCCCTCAACCACAGAAGCTCCTTCGTACATATTAAAGAAAAATCTATATGTTTTATGAGCTCCTTACACCATACTTGGAAAAAAACCTACTGTCACTGGGTTCTATCAAAAGCAATTAGAGTGAACACAACATAGCATTACTATTTTGCTATTAGCCTTCAGCTCTGTCACTGAGGCTGTCAACAAGAGTGTCAACTTCAAGGGGTGGGCATCTGTCCACAGGAACTGAGCTGAGGTCACAGACTTGTCTAGCTCTGCCCTACAAACAGATGTCTGTGTGACAAATCTTAGTCACTTCGAACCACAGCTAGTGCCAACCCAGGTGGGAAGTGCTGGATGTCCTTTCCAATCCTCTTGGCCAGCCAGCTCAGTCCCTAAGACTATACCTCACTGACCATATTTCAAAATGGCTAGTCTTCCCCGGGATACTATTTTTCATGCAATGATTTCATTTTTTTTAATGACTGATTGTGACACAAGCAGAAGGAAGTGTTTCTAGAACAGTGGTTTGTCAGCAAAAACCCTATTTGATTCCATGTATTGGAAGGTACATCTTTCAAGGGTTACTGCTCAAGCAGCCAGGTAAAAACTGATGTGATGTGGGGCTCTAGTGGTGAGAAGGAGGTAAGGCAGCTGCTGGCAAAAGCCAACAGAACACCCAAGGAAATCCTTGTTACCATTAAGTTGCCATGTTATGATGAAAACAATTCTTCTATAATCTTCCAATACACAAGGCAAACTCTAAGTGCAATAGTTCTCTTCCAGATGACAAGTGACAGTTACAAAATTAGGACATTAAATATCATGGGCTGTAACATCTGAAGAGAAAACAGAATTCAGAGCAGTAGAGGTCACTTTTTACCACGTTCACTAAGAAGCCAATGAATTAAACACTAGCTGTTCTTCACACAATTAGCAAAAAAGAAAACACAAAACCCGTTGGTGTCTAAATGACATGGTCAATGAAGCCCTGTATGTACCAAGTGCCCTGGGAATGTAAATAATCCTTATAAGCTAATGGAGTGGTTATGTGTTTAATCCTCCACTCCAAAAGTAACCTTCCTTAAATATCTGACTTCAGAGATCTGTTCCAACTTAAAACAACTAAGAATGAAATCTACAATGTCAAACACTAATTTCTTGATTTCTTCTTGATATAAGAGGCAACCCTAAATTTTCATATATATATATATAAAATCTCCTCCTTACTGGAGCTTAAACCCTGGGTCTCACTCTAAGTAAATGCTCTAAAACTGAGCAAGCATCAAGATTTCGGATATATTTTTTAAAGTACTTTTAAAAGCACTTTTTTATCTTAAGACTGACTCTTACTTAGTTGTCCAGTTTGGCTTTGCACTTGCTCTGTAGCCCAGGCAGACACTGAACTCGCAGTCCTCCTGGGTGCTGGGATAACATGGTGTAGGAAGAGAGCTATCCTCTGACCTCCATACATATGCTGTGATACACACATGCCCACAGGCATACACGCTAGATTTTTTTTTAATTTGTATGCTATACAACCTGTAATTCATATTTAAAATTTCTAAATATGGCAGCTGTTTTAGTTATATCAAAACAAGATATCATGAGAAGAAAAACAACTCAAGATATAAGAAAATACAGGAACTAGCCACTTCATTACAGTCATGTACCACTTACCAGGGAGAATTGTGTTGTCAGACAATTTTCTACACTGCACTTACACAAAAGAAAATGTTGTGATATCAATAGATGACATAATCTTATGAGACTACCATCTTATGTGTGGCCTGTCATTAACTGAGATGTCACTATGCAGCACATAACTATATAAATAACTATCACGTTCTCGAACATAAGGAAAATAGGAGAGAAACCCTTTCCATGCACGAAAAAGAAACTGCAGTGTTCATAAATGCATCAGTGTTTATCTGAAAAATATTAACACTCATGGGAGTTTTATGACTTATATCTTTGAATCCACTAGATGTTTTCCAATGGCCATCTTCCAAGATCTTTTAAACTGTTAAGTCTACAGATGAATGCCGAGCCTCAGAGATCTATGAACAAAGAAGACTTAACAATTACTCTGGGGTTTTTATCCATTGATACCGCTCTTCTCCATCCTCTAATGTGCTGTCATTAGAAATATGGTAAAAATATAAGAAACTTTTCTGAGAAGTCATTGTTAATGTACTAATTAGTAATGGGAAGTTCCAGATACAGAATTTCCTTTTAGTTTTCATCTTTTGCTTTAAGACATAAAAGAAAGCCTTTTGATAGAACAGAAAGGAAACAGGTAAGGAAGTAGAAGCCTCACTAATGAAATCGTAACCAGAAGCAACAAACAAACTGCGTGATGCAGCATTAGACACCAGGGGATTTAGAATCTAACACTTTACAGTCCTTTTCACCGAAAGCATTAAAATAATTTAATAAACTCATAGGAGAATTCTCAAGTCTGTGACTCTAAGAACATTTTGTGCATCATCTTGCCTGTATTTTCCATGGCGATTAACTCTAGCTTCTTTGCTTTCCCATAACAGACCTTGGTATGCTTCTTAAAATAATATTTAAGGTTTTATTTGCCATCTTTTTGACTGAGACATGTTGGTTTTATTAAAGTGGGTTGGGTCTGCATTTTTTCTTTACTATTATTACAGGTAGACTTGACAGGCACAAGAGCTTTGCTTTCAAATGTTCTGCTCTGAAGGGAAGCCTTGTTAAGTACTATTTTACCTGCTGGACAGTTGCACTCGGAGGGTGCTCCTCTTGCGATTCTTATTTTAGCCATATGTTCATAGGATTTCTGTGGGAAAAGCAGAGGTATTAACACAGTCATCAACAGCACTGAACAGAACTGGATTCTCAGGGACTGCCTAGCATGCCTGAATTACCAGCATTTCCTAGCCTGCATAATGAATATTTACATATGTATTGGGACCCTAGTCAAAAAGTAACAGTATCCAGGTCCTAAAATAAAACAATGACTACTGACATAATATAAAGATTGCAGGGTTTGGGTACCATCTTTGTCCAGTCTTCAATTACCACCACCCTCTCCCTCAGCCCAAGCATAAGCATAGTGGAAAAGCCTAGAACTGACATGCTGTAGGTCTGAGTACGCTGTGGCTTGCGGCGAATAGTCAGTAATGCATATGTGAAAGTCAGCTTTCCAGAAGGCCCCTAACTTGAGTGTAAGTCATCCTTGAAGATCATGTGGTTCCTTTCAACTCTCACTCCAGAGGCTCTGCATCCATCAATACCTGCACCGCCCTTATCAAATTTAAAACTTTAAAACATGTTTTAAATATGAAAAGATTCAATGGGTGAAATTTTAATTTTTGAATCATATATGAAAAGTATTTCCCTTTTAAGAGTGATTACATATGCATATTTATAGCACCTATACTCTAACCTTCGAAGATGTGGGAAGGAAAAAAGGGATCTTTATCTCGGCAATGACTATTCTCCTGGGAGAACCACATGAGACTCCAGAAAACTAAAAGGAAGCAAAACGCTCTCCCTCGCCCCGCTATACTGGCCACCCTTCCCCCTTTTAGACCTCCATGCGCGTTTAGCATGCAAACATTACGGGAGAGGGGAGATAAACAGCTATAGACTTGGTGGTACCATTACCAATGAGCATAGCACACGTGTCTAAGACAAGCGCATACAGCTTAGCCAAGTCTGCAGACAGGAAGGATCAAAGCTGGTCCTGCACACAGACTCAAATCTGTGCAAAATATTATCCACGTGCAAAACACCCCAGCCTCTCACACCTGAGCCAGGAGGCGCTCCACTTTCTCTCGAACTATGGCGTTCAGCTCATCCAGAGCGTCAGGTAGTGGACGAATGGAAGGTGTCCCTTTAGCGGATTCAAGAGCGGCAATCCTTGCCTGGAGGTCGTTGGTTTTCACCCCAAGGTACAAACAAGAAACCAAGGCAACCACTGATAGGAGGGTGGCCAGGGCCGCGCACCAGGGCATGACGCCCGCACACCGCTTTTCCGAGGGGCGCTGATCTTCGGATCCAGGCTCCCGTCCCCCTCCTTTCCCTGCGTGCTTCTTCAGCAGCATTGTGCCCAGGTCGCCTGCCTCCGCTTCTCTTTCCACCCTCTACCTCCAATAATCTTAGAAGCCGAGAAAGGGCCGCTGTCCCCAAAGTTCAGTCCTTAAGGGCTGCAGAACTAGTTGGCGGAGGAGTCGAAGGTGGACCTGCGCTTTGCTGGGGCTTCGGGATCAGCAGGCATGGACCATCCTCCCTGTCCTTCTCTCCTTCCAGCTGGGAGTAAAAAGCACCCTCGGGCGGGGACGCAGCGGGCGCCGGGGTAGGAGCCCAGCAGCTCTCCCGACCCCTGAGGCGGACCCTTCCGGCGGGCCCCTAGCCCAGCTCCGACCTGTTGCGTCCGCTCGCTCGCCTCTACCCTACTCCGGGCTTTCCGCACACCGTCCTGTCTCCCACCCGGATTCGGTTTAGGGGGAAAAAATGCTGAGAGGCACCGCGAGAACGCGGCCCCGCGCTGGCGGGACGTGGAGGGCGCGGAGAGCCTCCCGACCGGCAGCGCGTACCAGTCGCCAGGCCGCAGAAGTAGCTCCGCAGCCCCGCGCAAGCGAGCCTTAAATACCCAGGGATGCTGCGTGGGAGCGCGCCCGGCGCCCCCGCCCTTGGAGCCCGCCCCCTCATTAGCATAATGTATTCACCTTCGCCCAGCCAGCCGAGCGGACCCCCGGGGGCGGGAGCGCCGGTGGGAGCCAGCGGGAGGTCCCTTATTAGCATACTATGCCGAAAGCTCTGCAGCCCCCGGGACTGGAGAGGATGGCGACCCTTCCCCTCCCACTGCCGGGTAACTTCAGCGTCCCCGAAGGCCACCGCTGCGGCCCAGGCCTGGGGCCGAGACGGGGTCCGCTGCCTTATTCATCTCAGCCCAGCTCCCCTCCATCCCTGTTAAAAATGGAGGGATGGCCTCCCGAAGGGGGAAGGGAAGCGGATCCTCCCTTCCAGGCAGCCGCAAGAGCCCTTCCCGTCTCGCCCCGGGCGACGGCTTCCCTCCTCCTCACTTCTTTCCCTCCAGCCTAGAGGCAAGTGTCTGGCTGGCGTCTGCGGTGCCTTTCCCCACCTCCCTTCCTTCCCACGGTCGCGCCACAGATTCTCCAACCAGGGAAGTTTTCTCTCCCCTCCCCCAGCTTCCTCTAGTCCTGATGCTGTTCCCCCCAGCTCTGAGTTCCTACTCCTTACTAGGGTGCTAATGCGTTTTCCTGATTCTCTGTTTTCTGGGATTGGAAGGGGGAGTGTTTGAGGCACACACATTTCTAGGTATTTAGGAAAGAGATGAAGAAGAATGAGGTCAATTTTTCCTCTTCCCTGACTCTGCTTGCTGTTTCCCCTGGATCAAATTGCAAAGTCTCCAATGGAGATTGGAAAAGTTGATAATAAGTAGCATTTTGTATCTAATTGACTAATTGACCTTGGAAAAAAAGTAACCCTACTTCCTTACCGCCTAAGAAATCACACACACACACACACACACACACACACACACACAAAGATCTTCCTTACCTCCTAAGAAATGCCACCTATATTTCCTACAGGCCTTACCCAGGCTTACCTCAAATCGTTGCTCACTATTGTAACTGATCAAAACATTGCACAAAATTAGCAGATCCTTCTCACATGAGTAAACAGATACTGTCAGGTGAGAAGCAGCAATAAAAGAAAACTCACACTACCATTAGGGGATGAAGCAGATGTCTGAGGAAAATCCCTGAATTTTGCCATACAATTGATACCACAGCATTGCATGGTTGTTCACAAAGATAGTGCTGGATTGGTGAACTCAACATCACATGAGAACTTACACAGGACCCACAGTCTAACAGGCCTTACAATGAGTTCATGTACATTAAAGTTCAAGAACCGCGGGTGTAACATTTTTTCACAAACTGTTTTCAAAGATATTTTTATTTGAACTTTGTAACCCTGTGACCCAAGTGAAGACCTATTGTCTTTGTTTTTGTCCTATTTAGTTTTTATTCATAATCATAAACTTAACCCTGCAATCCAGCTAGACTTGGATGGAAATAAGAAGCACATGGAACCCAAAATGTGCATCAAGAGCACAAAGATTATGGGATACTGTGAGCGGATGGGGCAGAGGGCACGTTCCTGAGCTACAGAAGGAATGATCTGGTGGTAAAGATGTACACAAGTCAAAAGCATCAAAACCGTCCAAACTGGCAATGGTGATCTTGCTGGTCTTACATTCCTTGACTCAAAGCCATCCATGGCTTCCATGAGCTCAAGCCTTCTTTCACTTTCCCAAAAACCACACATTTGCCATCCAATACTCAGTCCTAGCAGTACAGATGAAAAACTGGGAACCATTTGTGTTTGGTCCAGCATTTGCCATGGACAAGATAGAGGACCTATGCTTCAGGATGAAGTACTCATCCTCCAATTTCTCCCCATAAAAGCACTTACCACCAGTGCTGCTATGGCGTGTGAAGTCCCCACCCTGCACATGAATCCTGAAATAACTCTGTGAAAGGAGAAACCCTTACGACCAAATTCTTTGTCTCCAGGGCTCAGAGAATGAAAGTTTTCTGCTGTCTTTGGAAGTTTGTCTGCAGACAGCTCAAAGGACACAGGAGGAGTTGCCATTGACCACAATGTCAAAGAACACAGTGGAGCTGGATGACTGACAGCAGGGGCTTCTGGGACAGCAGCACCTTCAAAGTGCCGTTATCTTTCTTTATATAACAAAGCAATTTTCAAGTCACATTTTGTTGTAATTAAACATATTTCTAATAATAAGACACAAAGAATGGGCACAATCATGTGCCTCTGTGTATATGTGTGTGTTGGAAATTGATCTCTTCCACTGAGTTACAACTCTAGCTGGTGCAAAATTTTTAATATAACTCTTTCCAATTTTCCAACTAGCCATCTTGAGACTCAGACCCATATAGCCAACTCCTTGTGATGTTCACGTGGATGTCTCACCACCAGCAATTACAACGTAGGCTGCATTATACCTCCAAATGGCTTTTTTCCTGTTTCTGTCTCAGTGTGGAGCTACCTTGACTTCTTCTCGGCCTCTTCTCTATGTGTCCCTAAAATCAGTGCACCCTATTGTCCTTAGGATGAAAATGTTGTATCTTAGAAGCCCTCCCTCATAGAAGCATCTTACCAGCCTTACTGTTGGTCATCTGTCTTCTGCACACCAGTTTCTAGAAAGCATGGAAACAGAGAATAAAGAATAAAGAAATTTCAGTTCAGACAGTGCACTATTCTCTTAAAATTTGAACACAAAAGCCATTTTTTATTCTGAATAATGCCTATAGTGGGTCACACAGTTAGTGTAGATGAGCCACTGTTCTATGGAAGTTGGCCATGAGACTGGCCTTCAGCATCTTTTGCTAGCGCTCAGAACCATCAGATCTTAAGAGAGAGATAGAGTTGGAATTTTGTGGATTTGAGATCTTTATCCAGAGGATTAGATTTGCGTATGTCTTTGGTGGGCACAACACCTCAGAAATGTACCAGCCATTTAGCACTAAGATTTCAAAACCCAGTGGATTCTCTGCATCAAGCTCAAAGAATGCATGGATTAACAAGGCTCTGTGGGTCTGAACCCATGTTGTTCTATAGACTCAGCAGACTGCGGTTACTTTGATCTCTACATAGAGAAGCATACAAAAAAGGTTAAAGTAGCATTAAAAATGCTGTGGTCCATCTGACTCCTGATTTGCCTGTGGCTAGTATCAGTAGTAGTAAAAGGCAAACAGCTGGTTGATGAAGAGAGATATGCTAGAAAAAATAATCACACGTACACACAGAGAGATGGGAGCCAGAAACTCCAAAACCTGTAAGTGGCAAAACATTTGCAAAGTTAAAAATCCTGAAATGGGAAATTTTTCTTCAGTTACGTCTGCGGGCCCATAAAAGCAAAGGCAGGATTTCAGATGGAGAAGGGATGTGACAACAGAAGCAGGTTGAGGGAGTTGGGGAGGGGTTGGGGGGAGGTGCTGGACCTGAAGGTGAAAGTTTTGAAAAGCCTCTATTCTGGAAGCAGGAAAAGGAATAGAGCAGGTTCTCTTGAGAACCTCCACAAGGAAAGCAGCCAATGCCTGGGGTTTAGGATTTATGACCATCAGAAATATAATTAATAAGTTATTTTGTTTTAAGCTGCTAAGTTTATAAGTTTTGTTATGATGCCAACCTAATATAATCAAAGCCGTCAGTCTCCATAATGTACAGACCACATCAGAAGTGGCCCTAGAGCCACCAGTAAATGTCAGGATGCCCTCTACAGAAGCATCCATTCTGCTTCCAGACACCTCCTAGTGGAAGGACTCAAAACCAATCAACCCGCCAAAGTGTGCAGACACTTTGAAACTTCTCTTACATATTGACTCGCTATCAATGCTGGAATTATGGGTACCAATCTTCAGGTCCTCAAATACAAGGAACAGACAAGACTTCCGACAGATGTGGCAGGGAGTTAAAGAGAAAAATAAGGTGACTGGGAACAAAGGCAAGAAACTGGAAGGAAAGGGTTGAGTGTGTACTTTGTTACTTTATGATTGAAGAAGGCACAATGTGCTCTTAATACCGCTAAGAAGCTGATCAATAAAGAACATGGAATGTAGGTGTGAGGAATTAGCATGTTTCAAATTTGGACAGTTTATATGTGTTTAGAAAGATTATTGACCAAGTTGCTCAGATAATCATGTTATATTGTTTTTAGGTGGATGAAAGTTACATTAAAGAAAAAGATTTCAATTTGGTTTGAAAATATCTTTTAGTGTCTGTCATTCTTTTTTGAGATAATTTTCTAGAACACTGGTTTGGCCAGTGTTCCCAGCAGAGTTAGCAAACAGAAACAAACATGAGGGGATTTCTGGCCTTCTCTGTACACCCGCACCACCTGTTGTATCCTCTAAGTACCTTAATAAAGAAAATGATGGAATGGACGATGTACGGCATTGCATGCCACTTTATGAACTTCAGATCAGAGCGTAAGCTCACAGAACCATCTTGTAGGAAGGCGGCTTCACAAAGGAAGAGGAGCTGGAGGGAGTTAACAGAAATGAAGTCTATGAGACGTTCTCCAAAGCCAGGCAAATTTCAATAAATCACAAACAAATTATAAATATCTCTCAGAGCAGATGAGCAGAAAAGAAGGGTTTGGCTCCCAGTGACAGCTGAAAAATTCCCTTTCAGAAAGATCAAGGAACTGATCCCTTTCGTACAGGCCTGGTTAAGCAGGGGGCTTACAACTGTATGAATCTAATATCTAGACAGTGCACACCCTCCAAGCTGTCCGTC